GCCACTCCTGCAGGCGAAGGCTTCAGTCTCATCCTCCAATGCCACCGGTCCCTGGAATAACACATGATGGCCCCATCTGCAGTGGTCCTACCTGCACGTTGAGGAAAAGGTACATGGGAACTTCTCAGCTCTGAAGTCCTGAAATGTTCAGAGGTGAAGGATTCCTCATCTCTTCTGGACCCTAGAATAGGAACTTGTTCTCTCACCTCCCAAGTGAAATGGCCAGATTTTGCCAAGGTGTAAATGGCAGTCTCTGAAGCAGAAACTGCCCCTTTCTTGGACTTCAGAGGCCCTCATGCCCAAGCAGCGGCCTTAAATCCTGCATCATGTCCTGTTACAGAGAATCAAGTTACCAAACCAGACCTGATTTTCACATTTGAGAAAGAAGAGCGTTGGGTGGCAGAGAGAAAACCTGAAGTTGCATAGGTGAGTGAGCAGTAGAAAGCCTGGGGATGGTGGTCAGAATGAAGATTCCGGCTGGCGAGTGGGAGGCTGACTCCTTTGCCGTTGACATACCATGTCTTCCCTAAAGGAGGTAGGCCTCTCCTGGTTATAGGACATGGGGTGAGCCCCCCAGATAAAAGGATATCTCAGCCTCCCTCTGTTGCTTGCTTAGCTTTGAGAAACAACCCTGCCTCCCTTCCTTGTCCTCAGGACCTGTTCCCTGCCGCCTCCAACTGGAACGAGACTTCCTAGGTCTTTCTCCCCTTCCCTGGCCTTTTCACTTTCCTTCCTTCCAATTGTCTTCAACTCCTTTCCTATGTACTCAAACTTTACAGATCTGTTCTTTTTCAGCTTTGTGACGTGTGTTTCATCTACTTCTCTCATTCTTGTGAAAAGCCTCATGGTGTTTTCTCCTTGTGTTTCACAATCAGATCCCACCCCACCCAAATTTAAACTCCTCCTTTCAAGGATCTCGATTTCTGGGTCAGTTGTTTCTCTTCCCCCAAATTGAAGTTATAGTGTCCTTATTTGTTCTAGTTGCCTGTTGCTGGTACAAAGACAAACGATTTCTGTAGATTGAGCTTATATGTAGCAACCTTGCTAAATTCACTGACTAATTTTAACAGTTTATCTATAGGTCCTTTAGATTTTCTATGGACATGATACCTGCAGAGGGTGAAATTTTATTTAATCACTTCCAATCATTACTCCTTTTCTTTTTCTTTATTGCATTGCCTCAGACCTCCGGTATGATGTTGAATACAAGTGGGCACAGCAGGAGTATTTGTCTCATTTCCAACCTTAGGAAAGTTTCTCCAACATCACCATTGTTTTTTTTTCTTAACACACCCTTTATCATACTAAAGAAGTTCTCTTCTATTCCTAGTTTCCTAAAAACTTATATTGTGATTGGATATTGAATTTTATCAAATCCCTTTCTTCTGTATCTATAGAAATTATGTTTTTTCTCCTTTATTAATTACATTAACAAAATTGTCAAACTTATTGGCATAAATCTTTTTCATAATTCCTTTATTACCCTTTTAATGTTTATAGTCTATAGTGATGTCAACTATATTGTGGATATTTGAAAATGTGTTATTTTCTTGATCATTCTAGAGTTTGTTTTTATTAATCTTTCCAAAACGTAGCTTTGATTTTCTCTATTGTTTGTCCTCTAGGGGACACAAAACAAATGTGATGGAGGAAATCCCTAAGAAGTGCTTAGTATGGATGGTTAGTAAGCTAGGCGCTTAGGAGATATGAACAAAACTCGTCGAATGTGTGAAGTATAGATAAGGAATAATCAAGTATCTTTTGAGACACAGGCAGAATGCATACGATGTGTTAAATATAGTAAGCAGGTGAGTTAGTAACTTGTAAGAGATGCTAAAGATACATAGAATAAATGGCATATGTGCTAGGACCAACAGGATTATTACTTATAGACATGTCGTGAGGTATCCCACCACCTGAACTACATTATACTTAAATTGGCCATCAATTGGTGACACTCAGTATTGTCCCACTGAAAACAGATAAAACGTCCATGTTCAGGAAGCTAACTGGTGAGCTACAGCTCAGGTAACTGAGGTGTCATTGGCCCTGAGCACCTTCGGTGTGACTGGGCCTCCTGTTCAAACCTCAACTCTTGTGCTCGTTTGAGAGAATGAACACTGAATATCGCCGGATTCAAGAAATGTGCTGCTTCACCCTGTTTGTACCCCATCCTAAGGGTGTTAACTTACCCCACCTCTTTCCTTTGCTTCTTTTTCAAAATGTATTTTGTATTTTTATTTTATTTCATGGCTGGCTGATATAGTGATCTTAACCCTTGACCCTGTTGTTGCAACACCACACTCTATTTTGTTTTAAAATTTCTATAAGCCATGTGACTCAAGCATTTTAATTTGGTCTATGAGCCTTTCTATTCCAAGGCCTCTGAGGTATCTTGCCTGGTAGCATATTGGAGACTATCATTCTATCAAGGGAATTTCTCATGTTAAGAGGCCCCAAAAGATGAGGAGAGAAGAGATCATAACTGATAGTTTGGAGAATTTCCCTAAATAAGGCAATAATATAATTGGTTAAAATATCAGGGGCCCAGCACTGATCTGGGTGGATATAGGGTCAATCATGGATCACTGGGTTATCCTGGGGATCCCAAATGGATCATAATTAATTTTACCTTACAAATTTTAGCTAAAGCAATGAGACCCAAAATCGGCATAATTTACTGCAGGGTTGCAGTGATTAGGCTACCCTAAGGGCACAACAGAGCTGATTTGGGAGAGGTGTTCGGGATAACTCCTGTGGCGGGGCCTCTCCCTGAGTATATGTAAATTACAGGAGAAACATGGAACATGGAGGTTATGTTGATCTAGCACTGTTTCCAGTGCACAGGCTCTTCCCATCCCGTACACTTGTGGTAAACACAGGGCCCTCAGGGCACCTTCTCCTTGTGCAGAAACCCCAGTGACCACCTCTTGCTTCCTACACTCAGGCCCTACCCATTCCTTATTCCCACCACAAGGTCTGGCATGGCTGAGGCCCTGAGATCCTATAATACCTGGTAGCACAGATTCCCATCACTCACCTGACAGAGCACCCACCATCCCATTCCAGCACTCTGCCCACCCCGACTGCCCGTCACTCCTCTTCACTCTCACAGTGCCACTCACCTGCGCTGCTCTTCACTCAACCCCATTCACCACCAGACTTCACAGCATGCCTCACTCACTCACTCCACTGTGCATGCTGACAAAACTCACTGCCCTCTCACATTCTGCTCACTCCCACTCTCCCTGACCGTACTCATGCTACTTACACTTGACTGTTTCTTCTCCAGCAGCTCACTCCACTGGATGTCTCCCCCATTTCTCCCTACTCTTCCCTATTCCCCCAATCTGCCCCTCTTTACCCTATTCACCTCCAGTGGGCCCTTCATTTTTTTTTTTTTGTCCGTTTTGAGACCGGCCGCACCACGCTCAGCCAGTGAGTGCTGTGAGCGCACTGGCCATCCCTATATCGGATCTGAACCTGTGGTGGGAGCGCTGCTGCGCTCCCAGCACCGCACTCTCCCGAGTGCACCTCGGGCTCGACCCCAGTGGGCCCTTCATTAACCCCCATTCCCCTAATTCCAGACTATTTACTCACATCCTGCGGTTTGTCCCCAATGATTCCCCTCTAGGTTTTTGCCTCACCCACATGTGGCCCAGCAGGTTGCCATTTGTGTCCCAGAAAGCAGGACTCCAAGATCCACCAGAAATGGGGAGATCCAACCTCCTCCCCTCTGCAGGATTACCTTTAATGGATCTGAGACCAAGAGAAGATTCTGTCAGTAGAAAGATGAACAGTTTTGTTTCCAGTGCCCTGGAGTATTCTTGCAGCAGACAGCACCAGGAGCAATCTGCTCATCCCACATTTCCTCTCATTGGAAAGGCACTGAATGTAATATGTTTGACTCACATGGTTCATAAAAAAAGTGAGCCAGATGGCTCAATTTCTTGCAGCATAATTCCGGTAAAGACAGAGTGCCTGGAGGGCACAGACAGGGTCTCAGTTCTAAGTCATCCACCTGTTATGAAAACTTCAAATACTCTGTCTTGAAAACTTCAAACACGGCCCACCCCCGGGTTTTGCATAGCTTGGGTTGCCTAGTTCCACCACAAAGATGGCCCTGGTGAAAAACCACAGAAGCATGAGGGCCATAAATACAGTAATTCACAAAGAAGACATCATGTTCTGGAACAAATGTCCTACTGCGTGGTCTTTGCCTGTGTCAGAGCATCGCTCTCAATCTGGCTTTCACCTTAGAAAACAGGTGTTACCATCAGGATTGTGACCTTGGGACCAAGTTACTCAACCTCTACATAGATTCATTTTTTTTATAGATTCATGTTTTAGACCTCTTGTAAAAAGTCTCTGTGTGTGTTCATGTGTGCCAGTGGGTGTGGATGAAGGAAGTAATTTAAATCATTTTGTTAAGGTATGGAAAGACAGTGGTGAGCTTTAGCACAATCTTTTCACAGATGTCACTGTGCATATTAAAAATATAAAATTTCTTCCATCTCAATTATTTTAGGTTTACCTAATGTGGTCTCAGCTGACCTGCGAATCGTTGTACTTGGCACCCTCGGGAAGATAATACCTATATGCCTTTGGAATTGATTGAATATATGTTGTACTCTCTGCCTGGTTATTCATTCACTTGAAAAAAATAAAACACATTGAGCATATCTATATTAAATGTTATAAAATCCTATATCTAAATTCTGATTTCATTTTAATAGTAATAGAATAATATATGCTTGTTAAACATTTTGTTTTTTGAAAAGATGGGACATCCACCTACTACAATTTTCAAAAGCTATGAAGTGATACACAGTTGTCTCCTTCCCAATTCCTTCCCCCACCCACTGCAGCCCCTTCCCCTTCTCCAGGGTAATCAGGAATACCATCTTGTGTCTTCACAGGGATAGTTTATACATACACAATACCACTTTTCTCATTTTTTATACACAACTGATATATACTTAGTATCTCACATCATCATGTAAGTGTTATACAAGTTCTCTTTTATTCATTGTTGTCTACCAAGGAAATTTCTGTATGAATAGTGGCAATCAAAATGCTGGTGGTGTCATTTGGACAGCTTCTAGTTTTGTTTTTGGAGACCATCAGTGAATGCCTGTGCGTGTTCATCATTTTGTACATACATGAGTATATACATTACTAGAAGTTAAACTGCTGGCTCAAAACCACGTGCATTTGTGGTTTTGGTTACTTTCGAATCATTCCTCTCTGAATGAGAACAGCTTGTCCTGGACTTGCTATTTGCTGGAGGTTCATGTGGGGTAAGAAACTGGGGCCACATTCTAGGCAGATAACAGTTTTTCTAACTACTGGGATTATTTTTCCCACATCTGTTAGTTCTTCAGATTTTCCTTCTCCAAGTCAGTAAATAGGGGCAGCTGTAAGGCTCTTCACAAGGAAAAGTCCCTTGTCTTTCCCCAGCATCACAACTGTTCCTTCCATAAGTACAGACTACTTTCTGCAAATATGCCCTGGATGGGTGATTCTTTGTCAAGGCCCCTGCCTGTTTCTCCTCAGACCCCAAATGGTCTAGGAAACATGCTACTTACCTGTCCATGTACTCTGTTACCATTGATATATGTTTATGGTTCTACACATTGGAGTGGAACCTGAACCTCAGCTCAGTATCCTTAACAGTGCTGTCTCACATCCGCAGCCTTGAGTACTCTCTCTGAAATCTTCTGCACTGGTGCTTGATTTCCTCTGCTTTGGGCAGTCCTCTCCTGAGGGTTTCAGCTATCTCCTAATTTTGTCAGACACAGAGATTATACTCCCCATATTTAAACCAGAAGTCTGAGCATACTTTGAAAACATTAATTAAATCAACACAAGTTTCTTTCAGTGTACATAACAGATGCTGATTTACTGTCTAACATGCAATGAGCTTTGACTTCCGACTGTGGCCTCTCCCATGAGCTTTCTTTCCTGTATGGGTTCTCTGATGTACAATGAGGTTTGATTTTTGGGTAAAGGCTTTCCCACATTCTGTACACTTATAAGGTTTCTCTCCAGTATGAGTTCTCTGATGTACAGTGAATGTTGATTTTTCTCTGAAAGCCTTGCCACACTGCGTGCATGCATAAGGTTTTTCTCCTGTGTGTGTTCTCTGATGTATTATGAGCTGTGACTTCTGGTTAAAAGCTTTCCAACATACAGAACATTGATAGGGTTTCTCTCCTGTATGAATTCTCTGATGTATGATGAGCTTTGACTTTTCTCTGAAGGCTTTGCCACATTCATTACATTTATAGGGTTTTTCTTCTGTATGAGTTCTTTGATGTATAATGAGATATGACTTCTGGGAAAACGCTTTTTCACATTCATTGCACTCGTAGGGTTTCTCTCCTGTGTGACCTCTCTGATGTAGCATGAGATAGGATTTCTGAGAAAAGGCTTTCTCACATTCATTACATTCAAAGGGTTTCTCTCCTGAATGAGTTCTCTGATGTACACCAAGGTTTGACTTCTGGGTGAAGGTTTTTCCACACACATCACATTCATAGGGTTTCTCTCCTGTATGAGTTCTCTGATGCACAATAAGGGTTGACTTCTCATTGAAAGACTTTCCACATTCAGTACATTTATGAGGTTTCTCTCCTGTGTGAGTTCTCTGATGTATAATGAGAGTTGACTTATCACTGAAAGTTTTCCTACACTCACTACATTCATGGGGTTTCTTTCCTGTATGAGTACTATGATGTATAATTAGATCAAGCTTTTGTATAAAAGACTCGCCACATTTAGTGCATTCATAGGTTTTCTCTCCTGTGTGGGTTTTCTGATGGACAATGAGGTTTGATTTCTGAGTGAAGGCTTTTCCACATTCATTACATTCATAAGGTTTCTCTCCTGTATGAGTCCTGTAATGTATGATGACAGTTGACTTTTCTCTGAAGGCTTTCCCACATTCAGGACACTTAAAGGGTCTCTCTCCTGTATGGGTTCTCAGGTGTATAATGAGCTGAGATTTTTGGCTAAAGGCTTTTCCACATTCAGTACATCCAAAGGGTTTCTCTCCAGTATGAGTTCTCCAATGAACAATGAGGTGTGATTTCTTGCTGAATGTTTTCCTACATGCAGTGCATTCAAAGGGTTTCTCTCCATTTTTAATTCTCTGATGTATACTAAGACCTTTCTTTTGCCTGAGGGCTTTCCCACACTCTTTATATCCACACGGTATCACTCCGGGATTTGTTTTCTCATACTCGGGGTGGAAGAATAATTTTGTATGTCCATTATCATGCTTCTTTTCTGCAAAGCTTCTACTAAATAAGTTTAAATTATCTACAATATTATTTCCAAATGATTCATGTTTATGGGGTCTTTGTATTGAAGCAGCAATCTTTGTACTCAGATACAGTGTGTTCCCAAATTCATTACACTCACAGCTACTCCTGGTGGTAATTGTTTTCTTGTCAGAGAATCCAACTTGCATCAACAGACATTTATCTTGGTCATCCTGATGCTGTCTCTCAATCTGTTTTTCAACTTTGCAGAGTTCTAGAAAGAAGTATAATAAAATATCTTAATACTTGGACATTATGGAGAAGCCCTTCTTTAGAAATGCCCTGCCATATGAAATCTGATAATATCTCATTTTATCAGAGTTCCTGGAGAGAGAGTCTTTTACTAACCTCCTACCTGCTGGTCTTTTTGCTTCCAAGAACAATCTTACTCTGGCATTTCAGTCCTTCTTACCTCTACTTATATATCATCTCTGACTTCCATCACCTCTAGGAACCTTATCACCCTTAAATCTTCGATTATCACATGAACTCTTAACTGACCCAACGTATACTATTTCCACCTAGGCAAAAACACAACAGTGTGATTTCTGGACTCAAGTCTTCCAACCGTCAATCCACATTCTCAGTGAATGAGAGAAAAAAAATCTAGAATAATTAACCTGTCAAAAACAAAGAAAACTGTATAAATCTTTGCCTAATCTGGGTTCACCTGTGTATGCTTCCGAGCTTGCATTCACAGTTCTTCAACACCAGCACCACCTTCTCTGCTCCCATCCACACTATTTCTGATAAAAACTCTACCTCTTACAAACTCTGAACCCTTCCTCATGTTCCCTCACTCACATAACCCTGTCCTCCACATTTTGCTGTATTCAGAATCTAGATAGCTTTCAAGATGCAGATAAGTCTTTCCAAAAAAGCTGACCCCGATCTTCCAATTTGAATTATTATTAACATTTAAAGTAGATTATCTGTACCTCTCATTTAGACAATTAAAAGTGCAAACGCTTGCTTTTAATTTCATATTTGACCTATTACAAATTACACATCATTTTACATTTTAACATTTCTGAATCCAGATGTTTCTTACAATTATTGATATGCCATAGAATAACTGGTGGCAATTTTCCTTTCTTAGTGGCAAGTCTTTAAATCAATGGTGTCTTGAAATCAATAAAATATGGTAAATATGTTTTGCACATATACTTAATTTTTAATCAACTTTTATACTTTAGTTTTCTTCTCACTTTCCCCCCAAATTTTTATGAACGTTTTCAAGCATAGAGAAAAGTTGAAAGAAGAGTATAATAACTAGTCATATTACCACTTATATTCAACAGTATTTTTTTTTGTCCTTTTTGAGACTGGCTGCACTGTGCTCAGCCAGTGAGCACTGTGAGCGCACCAGTCATCCCTATATAGGATCCGAACCCGTGGTGGGAGTGCTGCTGCACTCCCAGCGCCACACTCTCCTGAGTGCACCACGGGCTCAGCCCATATTCAACAATATTAACATTTTCTCATAGTAATACTGAATTTTAAAATGGATTGTGCTGAATCTGAACCTCCATCAGTGGTAAGCAGCAGTATGGCCCATGTTGTTAGTTAGGGTTGTGGCTCTCTATCCCAGGAGGAAATCCTGGCTCAGCTTTTCACCTGATGCGTGACATTATGTAAGTCTTCTAATCTATTTGTATTTTACTTTCCCACCTGTAAAACAGGAATTATGACAGTGCCCACCCAAATGGATGTTGAGGGAATTAAATTACTTATAACAAGGTGTGCATGGCATATAGGAAATGCTTTCAAATGTTTACTACTATAACTACTACTACTATTATTATGATTAAGAGCCACTACATTATTGCAAAATGAAGTAATGAGTGCCTCTACATACTTAACATGTTCCTGAATATAAAGTGAAAAAAGTAGGTGAATAAACTGTGCATAGTAGGCTAACACTTTACTTAGGAAGGAAATGAATATATAAATATATATTCATATAGGCTCATGTAGAAAACGATAGAAAGATAAACTTAAATTTTAATGAAGTTTACTTATGTAGAAAGAAAGAAAAAGAGTGGAATGGAAAGAGAAAGAACCTGGATTTCTCTGAATATACCTTATTTTCTAGATTTGACTTTGGAACCAAGTAACTCTTTTGTCAATATCTTATATAATCATAAAGCAAAGTTGAATATAAAAGGATTCCTTTTTTTTTTGTCTTTTTGTGAGATCGGCCGCACTGCGCTCAGCCAGTGAGTGCACCGGCCATCCCTATATAGGATCCGAACCCGCGGCGGGAGCACTGCTGCGCTCCCAGCGCCGCACTCTCCCGAGTGCGCTGCGGGCTCGGTCCTAAAAGGATTCCTTAATAGTAGTTAAACATCTCTTTATTTGTATTTCCTAACCATGCTGAAAAGTCTTGATTCCCAATGGCACCACCAAAATTACCTGAACTGATTCAACTCACTATACACATACAATAGTCTCAGAATAATACTACCACCACCACTATCAGATGTAAGAATAATAAATTAAAACATTTAAGTCCAGAATTTGATTTAGGAATATTAACTTGAATACACGAGATATCCTTTCTTTAAAAAAGTTCATACATATTTCATAGCTCTGTCAAAGAAAAGGCCTAAAAATGATTTCCTCACATCCAAATTGTAGTCTTAAAACATTTTCCAGTAAAAAGAACTGGAGCTCATTGGAGAAATGGCCAATTCCAGGTCCGAGAAAGGAAATATACAAATGAGCCTGGAGCATCTTAAAAAACTAGAAAGAAAGTTAACAAAGAATCAGGAGCCAACTTGAAGGCATTTCCACTAGTCAAAGATGGGACAGTTTAATTTGTAAGAAGGATAATAAATCCTTGGATTAAACATAAAAATGTTTAAATCCATAAGTCCATAACTGACACACAAAAAAAGACATAAGTTATTGGTTACCTTTAGATGATGTTATAAAACCAACTCATTATTTTGAAAACTGGTAAATAAACAGAAAAATTGAATCACATAACCTGTCTTTTCTGTATGTGTAACTCACAGTAACCAAAACTGAGGGGTAATTTCTCTTTCTAGAAGTACTCCAGCTAACCAAAAAGAAGGAATGACAGAATTAGAATATCCCCATTCTATAACCATTAATGAATTCATGGATCTAAGATAGGACAAGAAGAAACAACCACACATTACATGCCTCCTGGTGGAAGTAGCTGGGAAGTAAACTTGCTAAAAGCAAAAACCAAAATCTGATCCATCTTCTACATCTAACTACCAACTTACAAGAAAAATGGGGGACAGAGAACTGTGTTAAATAACACCACAGGGTATTTAATAGCCAAATCCAAAATGTGGAAAACTAAAGGACAAATGATCCAGTTACTTAAACAAGAAATACCAGGCGGGAAAAGGACATGGAGGGGAATCATCTATAGATTATAAGAGACAAGAATTCGAGTAGCTACAGGTACACGCAGCATCAAGAAACTGATTTCTAAATACCATTCCCACTAAGTGAAATCAGAAGTCGTTGGAGAAGTTCCTAATTCCAGGTGTAAAAAAAGGAAAATACAAGATGAACCTGGAACATATGTTTGTGCAGGAAAGTGAGGAAGGGCTCAAAGAATGACAGGGAGGTGTCAAAAGGGCAGAGACACCAGTCTGAAGGGACTCCTATTAGTCAAACTGAGGACAATTTGAGCATGAAAATGAACAGTGACAGCAATGGATGATAACCCACTGAAAAAATAAGAATCAACCAGCTTAGTAATAACTGATTCAGGCAGGAATCACCAGTGAATATTAAAACTACTGGGTAAGAGTGTTTAAGGAACAGGAAATTCATATAGCCTGGCAGTTCCTCCATATGTTAAACATACAATTACCACATGGGACAATTCTAATCCTATTTTTCTACATAAAGGAGATGAAAACATACATCACCACAAAAGTTTGTATATCAATGTTCACAGCAGCATTTTTCATAATAGTCAAAAAATGAAAACAACCACAACGTCCATCAACAGAAGAATGGGTAAACAAAATATGGTCTACCCATACAATGGAATATTATTCCTCCATAAAAAGGAACGAAGTACTGATACATGCTACAATGTGGATAAACCTTGAAAACTTGCCAAGTGAAAGAAATCACACAAAAAGGCCACATATTTCATAATGCCATTTATATGAAATGTTCAGAATAGAAAACAACCAAGAGATAGAAAGATGGGAAAAAAGTTACTGTGCAGAAACTTGCAGGTGAACACCAACTTAAGGAAAGTGTTCTGGTGGGTATGGGAGAGGGGAGGGGGTGTCAGTCTTATATCTGAGGTGCTCATGCTCCTGCCCTCCAATACCACCAAGGGCCATGGCCTTTTCACAAGATATTCTTGAAATCCCTTTTAGAGGGCCCAAGCCCTGACTAATCTGCTGGGAAGGACCTCATGTCCCCAGAGCCTGAGATAATGCTACTTACCTGAAAACCTCCAAATTGGGATTTTTCCTTCTGCCTGGCAAGGCTCTTCCACCTCCAACTTGAGGATGAGGTCTGGTTTAGTAACCTGCTGCCCTATTAATGAGAAATGACAGAAATATCTACTTAGTCTTTGGAGCCTCTGAGACAGAGGAAGCTGCAGTTTGGGGAAGCACCAGGGACCTATTGCTTGACACAGTGGTAAAGTCAAACCATTCGACCTCGGTTTTTAGTTCACAAACACCTTGTCAGGAGAGAAAAGGGGGGTAGGGGTTGTGGGAATAAGAAAGAAAAGGCCCTCTATTGGATACAATAATATGAAACAGCCAACTGACCCAAGAAAGCCATTCTTACCTACAAAGACCAGGTTGCTGAAAGTCTCCAGCATCACATCTCTGTACAGGGTCCTCTGTGGAGGGTTCAGGTACTGCCACTCCTCTTGGGTGAAATCCACAGCCACGTCCTCAAATGTCACTAGTCCCTATAATGGCACATTACTTTTAGTCTAAAACGCTGATCACTGGGTGATGAGGATAGAATGTAGGGGTATTTCTCACTGGGATCCCAGTTCATCATCATGACTTAATATAGGATGTCTAATTCATATCACTTTGAAATGACCTACTTTGTGGGAGAATCAAAAATCATAGTAGAAAAATGATTCCATTAAGTAATAGAATATTTAAGACAATGTGACATTAACACAAGAATAGGAAAATAGTCCAGGGGAAGTCAAAAGAGATTCTAAACGTGTATAGACACCTGATTTATAACAAAGTTGGCACAGTAAAGCAGCGGGGAGAAGATGATCTTTCCAATAAATGTCGATGGGTTATTGAATATCTATATGGTAAAAAATGAAATCTTTTTGTCCCACTCACCATACACAAAAAACAGCTACGAGTAAACTGTAAATCTAATGTGAGAGGTAACACAATAAAGCATCTGTAATATAGGAAAATGTTTTCATAAGCTTGGGATAGGGAAAGAATTCTAGAACAAAACATGAAAAGTACTGTTCACCAAGGAAAAGTCTTGTAAGTGTTCAAACACTGAGAGCAGAACAGTGAGAAAGGCAAGCCACAGATGGGAACATTATCTGCAATATTCATGACTGATAAAGGGTTCTTATCTAAAATACATAAAGTAACCCCTACGAATCAGTAAGAAACATGCAAACCCCACAGAAGAATGACCAAGAGAAGTGAATAGGTAGTTCACTAAATGGGAAAAGAAATGTCCTACGAACATGAGAAAATGCACTCTACCTCATTACCACTCAGGTAAACAGAAAAGTACTCAACCCCATTGGCAGTCGGGTAAATGAAAATGCAAGCCACTTTGAGACACCACTATGCACCCGCCAGAAAAGTCATAATTGAGCAGACTAAAATACCACAGCGTGTTGAAATGGGAACTCTCACACACTGTTAGTGGGAATGTAAACTGCTATAATCACTTTGGGAAACAGTGGCATTATTTCCTAAAGTTAATGATTTGCATACACCATGATCCAGCAATTCTACTCCTAGGTACACACCTTGCAGAAATTCAAGCACGTGTGCTCTAGAAAGCAAGTAGAGAGATGTTCACGACAGCGCTATTTCTAACACTAAATCATGAGAAAAAATCCAAATGTGTGTCAGCAGTAGAACGGGTCAATTGTGACACATCCATTCAATGGAATGCTGTGTGTTAACGAAAATGAATAAACTACAACCACATGTTGTGAATGAAGCAGGTTAATGGGCGCTGGCTACCGGTTTGTCTGAGTCTGGTGAGACGGAACCTCCACGAACATGTGACAAGGACAAGTTACATGGAACAGGTTTAGTACTTACGGATAGGCAGCAATGACAACAGAAGCCTAAGACTCATTGTGAGCTGGTCCCCACGGCTCAGGAAAGTTACGTGGGGCAAATGTAGATTCATCTAAGCATGCCCCACTTGCACCGCAGCTGAGGGGCCCCAGAAAGCCGCCTGCTTGTATTTTACACCTCCAGGGCCACAGGACCCACTGAGCTAAAGCACTGAAGGACATCTGGTTATAGGGGGGCTGGGCCCAGAACAGAGTCTGGGCTGTTCAAGCCAGCCCCCTTCTTATTGCAGGATATCACATTCCTAGCACATTCTACAATTATTCTTGGGAAGCAGAAGTGAGAAAAAGGGGAGAACTGTGTCAGTGCAAGGCCATCCAGAGAACTGTTCTGCACATGTCCAACACAGATGACTGTCACAGATGTACTGATGAGCAAAAGAAACCAGAAAGAAATGAGTACATACTGCATGATCTTATTTACATATAGTAAGAGAACAGGCAATGTTAATTCAAGTCAGGATTGTCATTACTTTTGTTGATGGCAGTGATTTAGGGAGAGGGCATGAAGAAGGATTCTGAGGTCCCAATTATGTTCTATACCTTGGCCTCGGTGGTGGCTACACACAGTGTGTTGACTTTGTAATAATTCATCAAGCTGTACACGTATAAACTGTGGTCTTCATGTATGTTATATTTAAATGTACTTTATATCTGTATACATAAAAATTATTTTCAACAAAAACACAGAGGCAATTCAATGGAAAATGGGAGTTCGTATTTGAAGAAATGGTTCTGGAACTATTTGATATTGAAATGCCCAAAAAAGGACCTCAATGTGTATCTCCAACATATATAAAAATTAACTCAAAATGGATCATAGACCTAAGTGTAAAATTTAAACCTATGCAAAGAACTTGTATTGAGAATATATAAAGAACTCTCAAAACCAAAAAAAAATAAGTAAATGAAAAAAGGCAGAAGATAGATACATCACCGAAGGAAATATAGAGATGGCAAATATGCACATAAAACGATGCTCAATATCATTAGTGGTAAGGAAACTGCAAATTAAAACCATAATGAGATAGCAGTACACACCTATTAGAATGGGGAAAGAAACCTGACAATACTACGTGCTGATGAGGACCTGGACATCTCCTATCATAGGCAGGAATGTGAAATGGCACAGCCAGTTTCGAAAGTGGTTTTCTAGTTGTCTAAGAAATTAAGCACATACTACCATACAATCCTGCAATTCCATTCCCAGGTATATCTACATCAATGAAATGAAAATTACATAAACCCAAAAGCCTGCACACGAACATTTATACAGCAGCTATGTTTTTAATCACCAAATCCAGGAAACAATCCAAAAATGAAACAACCCATTAAAATGAAAATACTACTTACCAAAACTTATGGGATGAAGCAAAATCAGTGCTAAGAGGGAAATTTAAAGCTGTAAATACATTAGAAAAGAAGAAAGATCTCACATTAACCTAACTTCACAACTCCCAACTGATAGCAGTGTCTTGCTATTCATGGTGACCCTGATGAGTTTACTCTAATGAAGTGACACATGGTAGGACCCTAGATAGTTTAAGCTAACAAAATCACCCAGAACAGGGTTGGCCAGGACACAAAAATCTACCCTGTGAATAGAGGGTGTCATAGTTTGTTTTTGCTGCTATAACAGAATTACTGAGACTGGGTAACTTAGAGCGAACAGAAATTCATTGGTTCACTGTTCTGGGGGCTGGGAAGTCCAAGACTGAGGGGCTAGCATCTGGTGAGGGCCTACTTACCAGATCACCCCATGGTGGAAGAGTAAGAGGGCCCTTTTATAATGGCACCAATCCCACCCATGAGAGTGGAGTCCTCATGGCCTAACCACCTCTCAAAAGCCCTGCTTCTTAATACTGTTACATGGCAAATATATCCCAAAATGAGTTTTGGAGGGCACAAACATTCAAACCACAGCAGAGGGTTCAGGCTTTGAGCCACATAACAGCCTGACCTCCAGGGAAGGTAGAGGGGCTGGAGACTGGGGTCAACCTTGTGGCCAATGATTCGATCACACCTATATAATACAATTCCAAAAAAACCCTCTGGAAACCAAAGCTCAGGCGAGTGTCCCTGGTCAGCAAAACTTTGTATATGTCACATCTCAATGTGCTGGGAGGGTGACATGGAAGTGAACAACAGGAGCTTCACAGTTGTGACCCTCCCGATTTCACCCTATGCATCTCTTTGGCTGGTTCTATTTGTATCCCTTGGTATAATAAAACTGTAACAATAAGTATAGAAATTTCATGAGTTCTGAGTCATTCTACCAAATTATCAATCCTAGGTGGAAAGTGAAGACCCTCAAATTTGTAAGCAGTTGGTCAGAAGTGAAGGTGGCCTTGGGAACCCCCAAGTTTATAGCTGGTGTCTGAAATTAGGGAAGTCTTGTGGAGGACCATGCCCTCAACCTGTGAAGTTAGGCTCAACTCCAGTAGTTGGGATCAGAAGTCACCCCAACATAATATACATAATAATTATAAAATAATACATGTCAGAGTTCAGACCAAACATATTAGCCAAATCAATAAATGTGATTAGGCTTTAAAAAGGCTTATTAAAAGAAAAAGATTTTCAGATTGGCTCACAAAGCAAGTCCAACTCTATATCGTAAACAAGAGATATATCTAAGACAAAGTGATTCAGAAAAGCTAAATAAAGGGATAGGCAATGGTACAACAGACAAATGGAAACAGTAAGAAAGCAGAGGTTGAGATCCTGATATCAGAATTCAAGACAAAGAGCAAAACCTATTAAATGTAACGAAGGACATTTTTAATGCTAAAATCCACAATCCACAAGAAATACATAACAATTAATAAATATAAACATCTATGTAACAAATTATAAGCAAACATCTACATGAAGCACAAAGTGCAGGAAATGCAAAGAGAAACAGAAATGTACTAAGAATTAGAGTTACTACTTTCAGTGAAAGACAGATCAAGTAGACAAAAATTAAGAATATAGAAGACCTAGACAACATATTCAATAAGGCAGATTTTACGGATATAAATATGACAGTACACCTTAATCATAGACAATATACCTTTTTCTTCAGCTGATAAGGAATATTCATAAAAACTGATCATATATTGTCACAAATCAGTTCCACGAACTAGAAATATCAAAAACAACACTCTGATGAAAATGCAATAAAATTAAAAATTAATAGTAACAAAGGATCTTCCACCTTGAAATTAAAAAAAAAAAAAAACCTTCTATTAAACAATTCTTGGGGGAAGGGAGAACACAAACCAAAATTATAAAATTTCTTTTTTTTTTTTTTCCTTTTTGTCTTTTTTCGTGACCGGCAATGGATCGCAACTCTCAGTGTCGCGCCCGTACCGGACCGGGACCAGCAACGGGATCGCAACCCTCGGTGTCACGCCCGCACCTCGCTCAGCCAGTGAGCGGCCGGTCTGTACGTGGGATCCGAACCCTCGGTGGGAGTGCCACTGCACTCCCAAGCAGCGCACTGTAGCAGTGCACCACCGGGCTGGCCCAAAATTATAAAATTTCTTAAAACAGAGAAGTGACAAGAATCGTAATAAGCAATCAAGATGGCAGAATAGACAGTCTGCAGCATCACTCTCTCC